TGATGGTACTGGACAGATATGGTTACGTAATGTCAGATGTACTGGAAATGAAGACAATTTGGTCAGTTGTTCTCACTCTGGATGGGGAAATCAATTTTATTGCAGGCATTATCACGACGCAGGAGTAGAATGTTCTTTAACAGGTAAATATTATTATAATATTGTTTTTAACTGCTCGAATGAAATGTGGATACTCAAGAGCCGCCTGCATACTAGTAAGTAGATCATTATCTTTTAAACGTTGTTATAATTAGTATATTACTTTCAGTATTGAAAAATGGCCTTTGAGAATTCTTGTTTGCTCCCTCAGCAGTACCTCTGAGGCACTATTTACTGCTTAGACTGCTCTAAGTCTAAGCGTGCAGTAACTCAGTACGATTGCTTTTCCCAAACAAATTGCTGAAAATCGGACGTAAAGGAAGTGAACATTACATTCATAAAATAAACACGTGTATTAGTTGCTAATTGTTAAATAGTATACATTCGGATAATAAAACATAGGCAGCCAAGTTGATAACAAAATTTAGGATATTAGTAAATATTAATACAGTATTCAAAAATCTATTTGCGACAACGTGATACCCATGCACTGTTTTCATTTTATTACAAGGGAAATAGTGGAACAATTTTTTGCTAATTTAATTAGTCGATTTATTTTACAGTTAAAATACCGATATTTAATTTTTTATTTAATATTTTCTTATATTCGGGGTGGTATTTCGACTAATTAATATATGCTATAGTAATTTCGTTTTGTCCCTCAATCAGGGCAAAACCATACTTGTATGATTTCACCGGCATAAGTTGCTAGAAATTGTGTTTCAGAAATCGCCGCACTACACCAGTGTTTATAACAGAACCATCGTCCAAGAAAGATAGAGTAGAATACAGTGGTCTTTGCAATTTTCGAAATGAATGTTTAGAGACTTGTTTCTGCGTATTATTATTCAATATAGATGTGGATGAATGTGCCCGAGGATTGGACAACTGTAATAGTAATTCTCAATGTATTAACACTGATGGGAGTTTTTTGTGCAGATGTAACCATGGTTATACCGGATATGGCGCGTACTGTTATGGTGAGTACTGAGTAGTACCTTGGAAATGGAAGAACACAAGCTAAATTTTGACAAATCTTGTGTCCTTAGATAAGTTCACTTGGAGAATAATGTAGAAAATGTACAGATTATGTGAACTCTTTGAAGAGATGAGGCATGCTAGAAATCACCATATGTAGAGCAGCAACACAACTGTTGCAATTTGGTCAAAAAAGTAAATTAAACATCAAAACATCGGACATATGTTCCTTGAACATTTAATTTTCGACTAGTAACGTTCTTTCAAAGGGTTTGAACAAATTTATGATTTTTTCTATTTTTACATTGTTGAGAGCCACCTTAATTCAAAGCCAGTATAATTCCTAACAAGAGAAGAAGAGAACAAGATAACTGAGAAGAGAACAAAGATAACTGAGCATGCATGAATTAGAGTTATTCAAATAATTGTATGTAAGAGTTATTCTAAAACCTTTAGCAAACCGAAAAATATGCGTGTGAAAACTTGCGATAAGACCTTCCATTCGGTTACTACTAAAAAACCATCCGCGAATGTTTTTTTTTTATCTATCCCTAGACATCAACGAATGTGTTCTACCGATTAACAACTGTCATTCCAATGCTTCTTGCACCAATATTGGTGGATCATTTTTCTGCACTTGTGACAGTGGATATACCGGAAATGGAACCTTTTGCAAAGGTAAATAAACAATACCCATCTATAACGTCAATTCGATCAGAATGATTGAGCAGAGAAGAATAATTATATCGTTGTAAAACATTAATGCTATTTATTTGTTATAAATCTCCAGAAATAGATGAATGTTCTCTATCTCTTGACGACTGCCACCCAAATTCAAACTGTACAAATATTGATGGATCTTTTCTGTGTACTTGTGATAGTAGATTTGAAGGAAACGAAACTCTTTGTGAAGGTAAACGAAAACGTGTTAAGGTAGAAATCGGATCGGATTAGATAGTAGCGAAGTTGATGCATGGATAATTTAAATCCGAATGCCGATCCAAAATGTTTCAATCTTAATACCAGTTCTATTCAATTTTTACAATCAATTTGATGTTTTGATTTTTAATCTTTTTATTCGCGATAAGTTTGTTATGCGATGCAACACAGCATTTATTTCTAGAAACATTGCATTATCATGAGGGCAATTGGGTTCAGATGAAAACTGAGACAACAAATAGATTACATACAAAAATGTTCCTAAAAGTTAGAGACCAATTATATATAAAGACCAATTATACCCCAATTAGCTCTAATTTATATATTACAACATATAAAAATAAAATTAAAGCTTGTTAAGGAGAGAACACGTGGTTACCTTCAAACCATTTTAAAGTACGTTGGCATCCCCCCTGCCCCCATGATCAATGTTGGAAAAAGTGGGTTGAATTTTCTCTTTTAGTCGTTCACACAACATTGAATTGTGGGTCAGGAGGACATGTATGCGGATGTCTCAATAATTTTTGCTTCTGATTGCAGATTACTGACTGTAATGCTGTCTATAACACACGCGTGTGACACCATGAGTATTCAAAATGGCGGGTCGACCGGGTAAAACCATAGAGCGCTATCACGCTATTTTCGGAAGAATTAACTTGGGCCGGTTGTATAAAAACGTAGTTAGTGTTAGCTGCAATTAAAATGTAGTCAAATAGTAGTTAACTTTAATCACGTAGTTAGCCGATTGTATAAACGTGCAGTTAGCATAGTTAAAGTTAACTATGCTTTAGAGTATTAATAGTTAACGGTCCTAAAAGTTAAAAATGGCGCTTGTATAGTCAACAACATTTTTAAGTTAAACAATAATGACAAGCAACGCTTGTCATTATTGTTTTACATTGGATTTTCAATCTATATCTTCCCTGTGAATGTTTTCTGAAAATACATTTCGAATTAATGTACCGTAATTTGTTAAGTTTTTCGGTAATATTTTTCTAAATTTAGATTTTTAAAATATAAATTGTAATATCTTAATATTGGTTTTCAAAATTAAAATCTATATTCTTTATCTTTTCCAATGTTTAGGGGTCCATGATGGCAAGGGGCCCGCAATAAGTTGTCGTCAGCTCGTCCCTAGCCAGCCTGTCTCTGGTTATATCGCAGTTTGAAAATGAGATATTTTTCCTATAATATTCTATATAATAGCAAAAACAGCCCATTTTCAAACCGCGACAACTCTTCGGCTTTACTAGGAATTACGTTTTAAGATATCATTAAAAAGGAAAAACATTCTTAAATTCACTTATGTGATTTTATTTTTGTTTCCTTGTAAAAAAGTACAATTTCACTACGGAATATTTCAATGCTACTTTTAAGGTCATGTTCACTGAGTCTAAAACATGCATAAAAACAATGGGAATTTAACATAAGTAAGATGCGATATATATACAAAATTATTCAAAAATTCTTTTGTTAAATTACTAAACAAAAAAGTTGTCAAAACATACTTTTGAGAAAACGAGATCTAAACAGCAAAAATTGAAAATAGTTTCAACAGTTTTTGTATCTGCGCAGCAGATATACTATGATGTCGAGTTTGCTTTATCGGTTAGCTTGCAGTCAATCAGTGCACAGTATTTTAGCTTGTGACCGTCCGTGGCCAATCAGTGCACTGTACGGAAATGGCTATTCAGTGTACAACATATAGATCAGTGAGAAAACTGTAGAATCGCAACGGCCTATTCGCAGGCTAAATTCAACATGGCGACACGGTTTCAACCGGACTACTGGTTTCACGGTTTCAACCGGACTACCTTCCGGAGCAACAGAAAGTGTTTTGAGGCGTTTGAGACTTTTGAAATATTTTGAGACTTTGCGCCAATATATATTATAGGGAAAGTTTTATCTTGGAAGTGACAAAATGGTGATGATTAAAATATTTTCTTTGGGCGAGTATCATCATTATTAGTGTAATCAATTTCGGGATTCTAATCTAACTGTACCACTAATAATAAGTTGACTGCTACTACCCTGTATCTTGATTGTATGGATGATAAAGAAGATTGTCAAGTTAGTAGTGTGACTTCCCAGTTTATGTATCAGCAATGACGTCACAACATAGTTGACCTAAGGAAACCTTCGTTACTGTTGTGGTAATATTCCTGCAGTGGAATTTATACGAAATGGAATTTTTACTACGAAAACCAGACCTCATTATATTTTATTCAATATACTAGAAATAGAATCTAACATTATTAAACGTTTATTTTCAATTGAAAACTTTGTTCTACTGTATATAATATATGCTACTGATACTTATTTTAAAATATTGTATTTTGTGCAAGTATAGTATAATTGTTTGCAATTTTTTATATCCTGACGGTATAATTATCCGTTATGATCATAATGACATTTTAAAATTAGTATGTTAAATTTCTTCTCCGCTGTTTACAGCCCTGGTAGATGTGTATCATGCTTGATCTTAATATCTAATTTTCTATGATATAATAAGTGATAATATATTCCAATTGTTCATTCCAGCTTCATTAATCAGTTCCTTTCAAGAAAATACCAAATGCATGTGACTCCAGTTTTGCGCAGATACATGTACGCCTACTGTACCTATTTCTAATCGAACGTTTCGCGCCTTTTTTTCGTCTTTGCTTATTCTTGCCCGTTTGAATTGCAAATTGTACTAGTTATAACAAATATTCATCCACAACCCGCACCAGCTTGTTCTTTCCCAAAATAATGCGATCGAACGGGATCAGAAGTTGTAGGACGACGCAACACGCAAAAAAACATGGTTTTTCCTTTGTTGCGCTACGATTTTGCCAGGCTGAGCCGCCATCTTAGATTTCAAGAATTTTACACACCTAGTGAGCCGAGTCAGCAATCTAGTTTTTCTATATCTATGGGTAAATGTCTACCAAAATAATGGGAGTAAGCGCGGACCGGAAAAGAAATTTAAAACGTTTGCTTTAAGAAACGCCAGAACTGCTAGATGCATGGTATGTAATTTCATGCACCGCTTTTTGCTTGTATCAAGACGAAGTTAATACAGTGACTTTAAACACTCGTAATTTCCTTTAAACCTTTTGCCAGAGATTCTTGAAGACAATACTATTTCCAATCTTTTGATTTCAAGCAGTAAATACACCCAGACGTTCGATCGCTATGTTGATTATAATTGTTATCGATAACAAAAAAGATTTTAATATCAATTGGTAAATTTTGAAACGCGCTATTTCTTACACGAAATAAGTAAGGAAGATCAAAACGATGTAATTGATGTTTAGAGGAAAAATTTTGTATTTTGGAGGAAGAAAACAAAGACTGTATACACAATAAAAGAATGGAAATTATATCTACGTGCAGACATAGGAAGAAATTTCACGTAAACAACGCAAACAATACCTAGTAATCCACACACTCCCACATTTCGTTTAGGAATTTTCGCGTAAACAACGCAAACAATAGATTGAATGCATGCTTTGTTAATCCACCCACTCCCACGTTTCGGCAAAACACATATTAGCAGCCCCCTGTTTTTGAAACTTTCCATACCGCCTGATGATTCTTTGCGGATGAAACAGACTGTTGCGGAATTATATATATATATATATATATATATATATATATATATATATATATATATATATATATATATATATATATATATATATATATATATATATATTATAAGTCCACCTATTATCATTAATAAAACAGTACATAAATTACATGCGTAACGTGCTATGGATAATAAGTCATGCAAAAAATGACATTGTTAAAAATCTACTAAAACAATCATTAGGTAGCCTAACAATTAAGTAAGAATTAAGTAATCTAAATGTTAAGAATACGGCCCACACAACAGTTCATAATCTTGTCCGTATATTTTCGAATTTCAAAGGCTTCGAAAATTTTTCGTTCATGTTCGTATCTGATATTTTTGTAAACAATAATGAAATTAATAAAGTCAAAGAAGTGTGTTTTTGTGGTGTAATGTTAGATGAGAACTTATCATGGAAAGCACATATATCTCCTGTTGCTCATAAAATTTCTAAATCTACTGGAATTATAAATAGGCCTAGATCAAGTTTTTATCTCTTCAAAAAAGCTTTGCGAATACTCTACGTAGCCTACTTTTGCTCTGGTATATCCATATCTTCAATATTAATTGTATTACGATATGGAGATCGATGTACTCAACTAATCTTAATAATCGCATTGTTGCTCTACAAAAACGTGCGTTACGAATCATTGATAAACAGGACTTCGGTGTGGATACCAGTCCTATATTTGATGAACTTAAAATATTGAAATTTGAAGATACCTATTCATTTAACCTCGGAAAGTTTATTTATCAATAGGCTACAAACATAAATTGCTTCCTGATTGTTTCGAATGTCTACTTTTAACTGTAAATCAAATTCACAATTAATATACCCGTAAATTCAATACGTTGAATCCCGATATACGTAATTCATCATCTATTTTTAGTTTTCAATCTAAGTTAAGATTCAAATCTCTGTCTTTGCCCTATAGTAGCCTATCATGCACATGTTTTATTTAATCTAGCTGAAATCATTGAGGTAGCCCATGCAAAGTATACAAGCCTGATGGTTTCTATTTGGACTTCCTCACCACAATTATTTTTGTATATGTATGGTTTTTTTGGTATTTGTAATTATTTGTCGTAAATCAAATCAAATAAAATTATTATTATTTAAAAAAACCCTAATCTTGTACCAGGGGAGTATCTAGGATTTTTCAAACATAAGTCGAACGCCAAAGACGTGAGACATGGCAGGGGTTTTGGGCGCATGCTCCCCCCAGAAAATTTTGAAATCTAAAGTCTCTGAAATGCAATTTCAAGCGTTTTGGCGTTTTTTGCAGAATTCCAAAGATTATAAAGTACATCAAGCACATGCTTTTTTTATGATCTCACAAACGTGCCTTCTCTCCGTCCTTGGAATTAGATTTACTAACGGAGGGTCATATTACAAAACACATCATGTAATTCAACTTTCAATAGCCTTTAAGTTTGGCTTAGTGAAATTCTTCGCAAATTGAACTGATATGATACCAATGACTGATCTAATATAACTCGCTGTTTGTGAATCAAAATTCTCAAGCAAAATAAAGAGTAATATTTCAAAAATTTTTATTCAATGAATTACAATAAGCTATAAAATTAATATCACTTGTATCACTTGTATAGGCCTATTAAAGCAGTCCAAAAAAATGAACCAATAGGAATTGTCAATAATTTCAAATTGACAAATCAAAATGAACGAAATGGACTGATAAAAACTCCCTTAAAGTGCAAATCAGTCGGACCACCCCATAAAAACTCCCTTAAGTTGCAAATCAGTCCGACCACCCCACAATATTTTCAAATTGTCCAATCAAAGGAAAGAAATGGACTGATAAAGACTCCCTTAAAGTGCAAATCAGTCCGGCCACCCCACAGATCAGTCGAGATAAGTCCAAATGACCTCTCGACCAATCAAATGAGCATAACGACACCCGATTCTGCGAGATTCTTGCGTTTTACCACTGCTCTAGATAAAGGCATATATTTATTCAAAACTGAGCTCGGAAAGACGTATACTGGACTATAATATGAATTTCGTATTATACAGGGTGTATAAAAAAAAGTATATACAGGGTGTATCAAGATAATTTTGAAATTGCTCACAATTCCACAATTCTGTTCATGAAATGTAATTTTTGCTATATATGGATTGCTTGAGTTCTTAAATTATGGAAAATATAAAAAATTTTGAAAATAGTAAATTTTGCTATCTAGGAGGGTGGTCAACTTTTGCTCCCCTAAAAGTGGCTTGCGCACGGAAATGACAAACGGTATTCTTTATTTGAGTTCATGTATGAAAAGTTCGCTATTTGTTGCATTTATTATAAAATTTCGGCAGGATTTTACCGAGTACAAATCCTCCGAAAAGCCTATGAAAACGTTACACTCAAATAAAGAATAGGAGAGCAAAAGTTGACCACCCCCCTGGATAGCAAAATTTACTATTTTCAAATTTTTTTATATTTTCCATAATTTAAGAACTCAAGCAATCCATACATATAAAAAATTAAATTTCATGAACAGAATTGTGGAATTGAGAGCAATTTCAAAATTGTCTTACTTTTACTGATACATCCTGTATTCGGGAATTAATTATTCAAATTTCGAAATAATAAATCAATTATTTCTTTGCAAATAATACGTCAGTCACGCGACTGATTGGACTTGGATCCGCACCTGTTCTATACTTTTGCCTGAAGAAATTACTACCAACACTAAGCACATCGTATTGTGCAATCGTAATTGAATAGTATCGGAAAGGAAACAATTTAACTGCAAAGGCCCTGGAAAATTCCGAGTGAAGCAACAAATTTAAACAGCAACCATAAAAGTTGCGCATTCGCATTGAAAAATGCATAAAAATAGCAAAGCGCATCACAAAATGCCCGTTGTATACAACAGTTTCGATAACATCCAAATGACCTGATTGGCATGCTTCCAATTCGAAACTCTCTACCAAAATGTAGTGCTGTAAAAATTAACAGAACAAAATGTGCACATGCAAAGAGCTAACAAAAGGTTTATATCGTGTTCTATCTAGGTGTATACTCATTAGCTCTAATTTAATAATTGAAATCGTATAATTTTATGCTGCTGTGTACTATATTTATGTCATTTCAGTCGAGATGTCCGTCATTTGCTTAGGTAGTTTTTAATTGTTACAGAAAAATCGATAGCCGTCCGTTTGATAGGACCATCAAGTTCCAATGGTACTGGTCGTGTGGAAGTATTCTACAATGGAGAATGGGGAACAATCTGTGATGATTATAATTGGAATATAAATGATGCTAGAGTTGTGTGTCGTCAAGTACTTGGTTTACCATACGCTGTCAGAGCTCTTCGAAGGCACCAAGTTCCTGATGGAACTGGGAAAATATGGTTAGCCAATGTAAGATGTACTGGAAATGAGCAAAGTCTAATCAATTGTTCTCATAACGGATGGGGAAATCATAAATATTGTGGGCATTATAACGACGCAGGAGTACAATGTTCTTCAGGTAAAATCACTAAAATGATAATATTATATATCACTAATATTGATTCCACTTAGTAATGTGGCGCAGATGAGTTACATATCTTACGGTGACAATGGATGTATTTTATTAAATTTGATGGCATAATAGAAAGTTATTATACTGTAGTGTACAAATAATGAAAGTTTAAACACTGAATTCAGAAAGTTGTATGTATATGCTGAACATGTATAGAATGTATGTATAAGCTGAACATTATATATGTTTGTTTGGGCCCAGCGCTTTTGGGGCCCCGCGCTTTTGGAGGTCTCATGCTTTTGGGAACCTCGCACTTACTGTATTCTTTCGAATTTTTTTTCTTGTTAAAGCGCGGGGCCCGTAGCCTGCGCCGTTTCTGACCGGACGGTTAATCCAGCACTGCCTGGTACCCAACTACAACATACACGAATTCTGCATTGGAGAATAAGCTTATCAATCTGATATTCATTACCCGTCTTTTTGCCTGTTCTTTGGGTTAATTGCATGGCATTAAATGTTCACAGGTGTTTCTGTCAGGTTACGAGGACCATCAAGTTCTAATGGTACTGGACGTGTGGAAGTGTTATACAATGGACGATGGGGAACAATTTGTCATTATAGTTGGGATATATATGATGCTAGGGTTGTGTGTCGTCAACTTGGTTATCCATATGCTGCTAGAGCTCTTAAAGGGTACCAAGTTCCTGATGGTGCTGGACAGATATGGTTAAATTCTGTCAGATGTACTGGAAATGAAGAAAATTTAATAAGTTGTTCGCATAGCGGATGGGGAAATGCATATTGCCGGCATTATCAGGACGCAGGAGTAGAATGTTCGGCCACAGGTAAAATTAATTGTAAACCATATAACAACTGACCTCACTAGACAGCTAAAACACAGTTCAAAAATACATCTTTTACACTACCAAGGGAGACTGGTAATGTTAATAGCGATTCAGAGGACCAGGATAACCAAAAATCTCTCTAATCTAAACAGTCTCTTGTTAAAATTTCCGACTGGACCAACGTTTACTAAAGAATCATTTGTATGCAAAGAAAAACGACCAAAATAATTTTTTTTCTGTGTTGGTGTAATGTACTCAGGTGAATATGATGCTTGTGATGTTACTCTGAGTGTATATCCACACCGGGCAAGCTTGAAAAAATATGCCTGACCACGGTGTGAATCGAACCTACGACCTTTGGAATACTAGCCCAATGCTCTGTCAACTGAGCTACGTGGTCAAGTTGGTTCGAGTATGTGATATTTCGGAACAGAATCTAGTTCCTTCGATATCAATGTAATCGGGCTAGTATTCCAATCGATATTAATGTAATTGGGCTAGTATTCCAAAGGTCGTAGGTTCGATTCCCACAGCGCGGTCAGGTATATTTTTCAAGCATCAGAGTAACATCACAAGCATCATATTCACCTGAGTACATTACACCAACACAGAAAAATCATGATTATTAGATTACATTGATATCGAAGGAACTATAGATTCTGTTCCGAAATATCACATACTCGAACCGACCTGACCGCGTAGCTCAGTTGGCAGGGCATTGGGCTAGTATTCCAAAGGTCGTAGGTTCGATTCCTACCGTGGCCAGGCATATTTTTCAAGCTTGCCCGGTGTGGATATACACTCAGAGTAACTTCGCAAGCATCAAAATAATTTCTGTAATTTTCAAACACGTTCCAATAAAATGTTTACAGACCTTTTTCTGTGTCTGATTGCTCAATATAGATGTGGATGAATGCGCCCGAGGATTAGACAACTGTGGTAGTAATTCTCAATGTATTAACACTGATGGGAGTTTTTTGTGCAGATGTAACCATGGTTATACCGGAAATGGCGTATATTGTTATGGTGAGTAGTTCGTTGGCATGTTGACATATCCTGTGTTCTTAAATAAGTTCATTTATTTTTTATCAGTGAAAATGAAGCAATCTGATTGGCTGTGGAGCCTTTCAGAGCGGGCCGGTTTTTTGCATCCGGCCCGCTTTGAAACGCAACTGCCCGCTGTGAAATGCAACTGCCCGCTCTGGTTTTCGCGCCCAAAACCGAGGAGTGAAACAATTTTTAAAAGAAAAAATATGCCAAAAACGTTTAAAAAACATAGCCTAACGATAGTCAGAATACGAAAATGAATTGCATGAGGCCCTAAAGACCTCATACTGAGCACGATGTTCACCAGAATTCGGACAATATTTTGATAGAAATGCGACTGAAAGTCGGAAAGTTATTTGACATGTATAAAACTTACGTCGAGAAAACTATATATTTTTTAGATGCTCATATATTCGGCCTCTTAAAAACGAAAAAATTACAGCTTAAACAGATATTGTAAAATAAATGTTTTCCCATTTAAAAGAAGGTTTAACTGCAGCAGTGAAAACAAGTCACGAATATATTCTCTACCCATTTGTGTCATGCATTATTCACTGATATAAATATTGTAAACAAAGTAAAAGTTTGTTTTTAAAAACACTTTTTTCAAGCATATTATCGTGAAACGACAGGAAAAAATACAAAAATATAAAAATAACATACCCTTTTCACTGTCCTTTTAGTAGAAAATCAAAACAGATTCATTTTTATATGTTTTTGATCGGATCTGAACATGAACCTGTCGAGTGTCGTTGTCAGGAGCAACTGATTTTGTCAGAGCCAAAGCCAAAACGTCAGGCATAAAACTTTTTATTCCAAAGCTTCTCTGCTACCGTATTCATGAAAAAAGCATGTCCATTTTTACTGAAACTATACGTCTTTTTGTGTGTTTCTTGCCAGTTTTCTCGAGTTTTCGTATTAGTGTTTTATATCTTTCAACTTTTCAATTTTTGTCAGCCTCGCTTTGAAAATACACAACTGCACTGATCTCAAATTAGTTCATTAGTTCGCAAGCAAGACCTCGGGCACAGTTTTTCTCATCCGGACCTCGCAGCCGGTAAATAACATATATTTATAGATTCGTTATAGCCGCCCCCTGCATTCTTAGAAATGTGGAAAATACACAGATTGTCTAACATTTGGAAGAAATGTACATGTAACTTGCTAGAAATAAAAAAATTCGCACCACAGGTAGGGCAACAACGAAACAGTTGGAAATTAGTCACAAAAATGGCGTGAACACATAATATTGTTATGGCAAGTATAGTAAATGAAGCTGTGGATATTTTGGCAATTTACGCAATTTACCTGAACAATGCCTGTTCGAAATAAATATTTTTGCTGTATACACGACTTTTTTACCCTAAGGATAGTTATAAGCGTTTCTAATTGAAATAAAAAAGTGAGTTAAACGCTAAACCATCGCTAAATCGTCATTATTGGCATAACAAAGGTGATGACGTCATTTGATACTAATTTTATATTCTTAGACTGTTCCTTTATAGAAGTTGCACATTTTTTATTTTCGACAAGTAACGGTTTGATCTAAATTATGATTTTTCCTATTTTTAAACTGTTGGGAAAAATTGTGACAAGACCTGCCATTCGCTTACTACTATACTGAAAAAGTCATTCGTGAATGTTTTTATCCTTAGACATCAATGAATGTTCCTTGTCGATTCACAATTGTCATTCCAACACTTCTTGCACCAACATTGGTGGATCATTTTTCTGCACGTGTGAGAGTGGATATACTGGAAATGGAACTTTTTGCCAAGGTAAATAGTCAATGGCCATATTGAACGTCAATTCGACCGAAATCATTGATTAGAAAAGAAACGTCGACTGAATTCTAAAATAAAGAAGTAAAAATTGATGCTGCGAAAGCAATGAACGTTAACTATGTTTGTAAAAATCTAATGGCATTTATCTGTTATAAATTTCTAGAACTAGATGAATGTTCTCTATCCCTTGACGACTGCCACCCAAATTCAAACTGCACCAATATTGATGGATCTTTTCTGTGTATTTGTGATGAAAAATTTGCAGGAAACGAAACTCTTTGCCAAGGTAAACACAAAAGGTCATCATGGCACCTAAGCAAAACAAACTTTTAGTCGCGTTTCTCGAAAATTGTAATTTTGCATGCATTGCTATTGAAATTGTTAAATGCATTTTCATATTTCGTCAAACAAATGTCTCAAAATTCTGTTCTACAAAGACCTGTGAAAATGTGCAAGATCTAAAATTCGGAAGACTTCAATCCGAATCCATCCTGCCTGATCCGATCCGAGAAAATGCTTTACAACTGATTTGATATTTTGTTTTTCAATTGATCTTTTTATTGCGTTTTTTTACGACGCAGCGCAGAATCTCATTCTGCATGGATATAACAGCGCAGAAAATGTCTGCGCATGCGTCAACCTTACCTTGCCTTGTTAACGTGGTGCCAAATGTTCTGAAGTTAGTCAAAAACGCAAGATGGAAGCAATAAGGAAGGACTTCGATGTTTTGCCTGTTCTGTGAAAATGCTTGCGAGCGAAACAATGAATACTAGAAATAATTACACTAAATGTAAATATATCGTCTTATCATGCAAGAAGATAAACCAATGGTAGCTGTGGACAAATATATTGCATAATTTCTTAATCATTAATCGGCGTCACTAATATTTTATTAACACTAATATTTAAACATGGACATGTTTTTGCCGACTGGGAGTCAATATTTTTCCCGGGTAAAAGAACCTAGATTTTTTTATTTTACTCTATTATGGGACGGCCTCAATAAAATCGTTGAAAATAGAATTAAGTGCTGCATGCGGTCCACTATTTTTTTTTTCATTTTCGTCGTATGCTCAAATATTTATTCTAATTGTCATAGAGAAATCTATAGCCGTCCGGTTACGAGGACCATCAAGTTCCAATGGTACTGGTCGTGCGGAGGTATTCTACAATGGAAGATGGGGAACAATCTGTCATGATTATTGGGATATAAATGATGCCACCGTTGTATGTCGTCAACTTGGTTATCCATATACCATTAGAGCTCTTCGAGGGAACCAAGTTCCTGATGGCGCTGGACAGATATGGTTAGATAACGTCAGATGTACTGGAAATGAGGAAAGTCTAATTAATTGTTCTCATAATGGATGGGGATATCATAATTGTCGGCATTATCAGGACGCGGGAGTGGAATGTTCTTCAGGTAAAATGATAACATAATTGTTTCTACCTGAAAGTGTAACACTGATTAGTGACGTGTCTTATGGTACACAGAGCATTAGCTTTCCAAAACTTTATAGTAAAATAGTTGCAAGTACATTGTCCAAACTTGAAAAGTAATATTTTAGTTGGTTAGTAAACTCGGCATTTTGCTTCACACAAATTATTCATTTGAACTGACTTTTGTTCAATCAACCTCATCATGAAAATTTGGGTTACATGAACCACTATTCGGATACAATTAAAATTCTGACGTATATCGGAATTTAATGAAATCCAAACCGTGCAATGAAACACAACGTGTAGTACAAAAATGCACGGCTGCGCGTGGTGGCCAGAATTTAATGAGGTGTTATATATTGTAAAATAACTGAACCTTATGAGTCAATGCTAAAGTGAAACTTGTGTCACCTTGTAAAAAAAATGCATCTCTTACCAAGTGAAAGTGTTTTTTACTATTGCACGAATGAAAACATGATCATTTGTTTATATATGACATCAAAATAGGTCCATGTCATTTAAGTGTTTTATTAAATTAAATGCAAAACAAATATGTACGTTAATCAGGCTTTTAGCCAGGGTCCTAAAAGAGGGCGTCCAATTTTGCATTTTTTGTATAACGATACATCTACAGTAAAGAAGGGAGGGGGGTTCGAGAAAACACTCCTCTTGAAGTTTACGTTACTTCGTTCGAAATTTTTAAAACACACTTGGCTTTGTGAGTTTGTGCCGCTGTCCTTCTTTACTTAACTAAGACATTTTCATTCAGCCAGGTACACCATCAAATTGATCAAAATGTCAAATGTATAATAATAATGAGAATTGAAGCTATTTTGTTTCAGTATATTATACTGAGGGAAATCATTGAAATAATTTGCCTTTTTCCTCCCCCCCCCCAGAATTTGGGCGCAAAGGTGTCCATTTTTCGTTCAAGGGGCGTCCCAGAACATCTGGACGCCCTTCTGGCTAATAGCCTGGCAATTAGGCTGAAAGCGCAAAAAGATAAATTGCCAAGCAAACATACCCAATTTTGGTGTCACGGGGGTGAAATTTTCTTTGCGACCCCAGCTAAATGTGGCCGAGATGAAGAATTACCGTGAACTAGGCATATATGTACTATTTAAAGCACGCGTAGGAGTGTTTTATCAAAACACGACGCGTAGCAGAGTGTTTTATATGTGATAAAACACGGCTATACAAGTGCTTTAAATGGCTTAAAAAACGACTCATCTTATACGAGTTCATTGGCGAAGTAATTTTTAAAATAAACTTTCTCTAAACCGAGAAAATCAAAGCTAAAGTTTATGTAAATTAACATGATTTTTATCACATATAAAATCACGACACGCTTATGATTTTTCTAATGAGTTTTTTAAATATATATAACTGCCAACTAGATTTCCAGAATGCAGGATATGGCCATTTGTGGCACCTCAGATCCCCTAATCATATAGTGTTAGAAGGTGTAATCACGAAGGGACCCTTGTCAATTTCTGCCCCTTGCCCCCAAATTCCCTGGGTGCTGCGCAGTGCGTGCATGTTGGTTTTGGACATTTTTTAATATCATGTTGTAGTCTGTTTTGTCGTTACACATTATGTGATGGTGTGTTCAGAAATCGTCAGGGCGTGCTTCTGCTCTGCAAAACTTTGCACAAAATATGCAGTGACAAAATATGCAGTCTTAAAATTTGTCTGTGCTTCTGATCGTCTAAACTTTGTACAAAATATGGAGTGATAAAAAATTCTTATAGAAACAAGTTAGATAAAATGTAAGCTTTACTATATACATACGTTTTACTGCAATTTAAGTAAAACAAAAGAAAACAGACGAAAATAAAGTATTATATTGTATATGCTTTCAAGAAAATAATGAAAGAAAATAGATAATTCCGCTTAGTAACAGGCTATGAAAGGTGCGAAAAAGTGCATACGAAATTATTTGTACTGGTGCAATGTTAATAACTTCGATACAAGTTTCAGATTTAGCACTAGATAGAATATTTATCCAACCGTCTTTTTCTATTAAGTTCGTAATAAGTTACGAACCGTCAGGGACGCGAAACGGAGACAGGTATAGTGGGGCATACCCCCCCCCCCAACACACAAACACACACACACGTTTTTAAAAGAGAAAGTGCCCTTTTTTCTGGGCTAAAGTGGTCCATTTAAAGAACGATAATGAACGCCCTTTTTGCTGGAAAGAAAGTATTCTTTTAGAAGCAGTAAAAACTCTGTAACGTTTCAAAAATTTTGTTCGGTTCGTGAACGACATAAAATCGTTTGGTTTTGATTATATACAAAAGTGCCGGGTTTGGCCAAAGCCCCTCCACTTTCGAAATGCTTCCGCGGCCTTTACCTTCTGGAATTATTTACGGTGACGACACCAATATCACAACTTGTCCAAATTATAGAAATTGGGTATAGTGGGTATAAAGGATGTTATGCTTTTAAAATTCGGATTTTATTCCCATTTTTATCGCGCAAAAAACACATTATATTTTCATGTAAAAACATTCTGGAATGGGGAGACATTCCTGATGTCATTAAATTTGGCAATGGCAACATTTGACTGGTCCGGGGAGGAATTGTGCCATACCGTATAAATAGCAAATAGGCGTAGGCATGTAATCGCATTCCTGGAAATCTTGATACAAAAACAAAAGATACGTTTTCCAAGCGAAAGGAAGCATCACCATGGTAATAAATAGAATGCCAGGCTGTCCACTCTGTAATTAATGGTTGTTTGTCCCTAACAACAAAAATGGCGTTACATAAAAAAATAGTTAAAATGTGGCGGAAGCTTCCGCACAAAAATGAAAATTTCCTGAAATGTTCCGTTTCTGCAACATACAATTCATTTTCGTTGGCGATTCCTATTATACAGGCCTACAACCACCAAAGGAACAACGATCGGAACAGATACTCTGCTGTTAGACTACTTCAAAACTGCCTTATACCTAAATTATCAACCTCAAAATCCTCGGACATGGAAGTCTATCTGCTTAAAGTGTAACACTGCTCGTAGTCTTGCTGCTCCACTCTCTTGCTGCTATTAGTGTCTCATAGTTATTGAAATATAAACATGATTAGGAAGGTTGTAAGTCTTAATTTTATGTTCTGTCTAAATTTGCATAGAT